ATGATAATTTTCAACACATTGAATTAGACAATACTAGATATTATAATTATTTCATTTAACGTAAGCATCATGAAAGGCATCTTATACTTGTTTAATTGAAATTGTTATCTTAAAATTCAAAGAGCAGGTGGTGATCTGTACAAGGGTGGTGACCAGCACAGCCTTTCTCTAGTTGAGTTGGAACTAAGCATATAAATGGCTTCTGGTTAGGGAAAAATAACTAATTTGACCATGACAATATTTTTTAATGGGGGGTAATGATCTTGTATTCTTCAAGCTACATTAATTTATATTGGCAAACGTAAGGTTGTTTTGAGAATCGTTGAACAAGATGGATTCGGTTATAATAAAATGAATAGAAGTTCAAAAGATATAATTTTTTATGTTAATTGTAACTAGTTATTCTACGTTAAATAAGATATACGTCAAGGAGATGTTTCAAAATTCAAATTATGTTATTCTTAATTGTTGATACTTATCATTAACTTGTATGAAGCCTCAACTTCTCACTCAAGCACAAGGTTAGCCTATGTTTGCTTATGGGAAAATAGATCAAGGAATAATGTAATCCATCTTAGCAACTCTATTCCCGACTTCGAATTAGGGAGCATTTGATTACGAGTATGAAATTTGTATTAAAATAAATAAATTTTAAGTAATTCAATTGCCTAGAACTTATTTGTATGAAAATTATTAAATAAATGTATTTGATTGATTTAGTTTTCAATTTAGAAAAATATTATACTTATCCAATTTTTATTGTTGTGCAGATGAGAGAGAAAAAGAGAGAGCGAATTACTTAGAAAATAAAAATATGTCTCTAAAGAAAATATTTTCCTTATTTTCAAGGAAAATATAGTCACACAATCAAAAGTAGAAAAATATTTTTCTTGAAAAAAATGGTCAATCAAGCCGCACAAAAGTAAGAAATTAATTGAAAAAAAAACATATTTTTCATGAAAATATTGGCAATCATACGTACGATTAAATATTCTTGACTGATTAAATATTCTTGACTTGCTCTATTTCATCATAGGTTTTCATGATGACCATTGTGACTAATTACGTACAACTCCAATCAATATGTTTTAGTGGGACCCCCCGAGGGGAATAACAAATTATCATATTGTAAAATTGGGAGAACTAGTGGTAATAACGTGTAGAAGTGCAGAGGTCTAAACAAATGAAGACTTAGATAATTAAACAAGGTTAGAAAATTGACAGGAAGCCCCGAGTGGCAGTATTTCCTTAATGAGTAGGTAGAATCCGTACCTTTTCTAACAAGAGATTGACTATTAACTTATCATTTCAATTAATTAGCAAAGCATTAAGAGAGGTCTCTAGAACTATAATTATTAAGTTTTCTTGTAATAATGGAAGTTTATGGATATATGACACAACGTGTGGAAAACAAGTAAGCTAGATATCAATGTGTTGAGGAAAAATGGCCATTTCATCAAAAGTCAAATTGGTTCTTTGTCGATGATACGTGTAATAAACTGTAATGTATAACTCTCTGTATGTGTGAGAGAGAGAGAGAGAGAAGATACGTGTAATAAACTGTAATGTATAACTCTCTGTGTGAGAGAGAGAGAGAGAGAGAGAGAGAGAGAGAGAGAGATCAGTGTTGAGGAAAAATGCCCATTTCATCAAAAGTCAAATTGGTTCTTTGTCAAAGATACGTGTAATAAACTGTAATGTATAACTCTGTGTGTGTGTGAGAGAGAGAGAGAGAGTATGCATATGGATTGTCTGTATATGGGAGTGTATGTATGTGTATATACTTTGTCCATGATATTATAATATAGAAGCTATAGTCACCACCTAATCCACCCTTTTGCTAGCTGCTAATTGAACTTTTCATTATCTCTTCATTTTTGTTTAAATAATGAAACTAAATGGTTGCTATCTTGGGCATGTGCCATGAAAACTTACTAAGCCTCAAAATTAAAATTTAGATTTTAATTTAAATCAATGTTAATAACTCATTTTAACTACATATTTTATGGAATCCACAATTTTTCAATCACACGTTTCATCAACTTTTATCAAAATCTAATAAAATTTTGATTTTAACCCCATCAAACAGATGCTAAATATTAATCCAGTACTATATAGAATTCTTAAGACACTTTTCCCCAACATGCACGTTTATTGAGATTTAAAGTTCTATTTTAAAATCAAATATTTCTATATGAATTATATTTATAACCTTAATAATACGATCCTCCAAGTCGGTGACTTATTTAAGAGTAACAATTAAAAATTCAACTGTTTGTTTCATTTGATCTTTTCATACTCTAAAATCATGTCGAGATTTGAAGCTTCATATTTATAAGAAATTAACCAATTTAAGATAATTAGATCAAACCCTTATAGTTTATATATACCGACCGTTGATTTACTTTCAATGTTGAGATATTGAATTTTATTTTTATAATCATGTTTTTATATTAAAGTGATATTGAATTGTACTCTCAACAAGATCCTTAAAAATGGTCTAGCTAAGATAGTTACCATGAGCTTGTTAATTTCAGGCGTATTGGAGATTGTAATTTAGTTGTATTAGTTTGTAATTCAGTTAGTTAGCTCCGATCTATTAGTTTTAGTTAGTTAATCAAAGTTTTCATTCTGTTAAATGAGCTGGCATATTCTGTTTGAACTCCAATTGTATTTATACGATGAATGTAAGAACATTACAGCTTGAATCAATAATTTCTTCATCTCCCACAAATTTTTTCTTCAACAATGTTTTTCAATTTACAGCTTTTTCTTTCAATATGGTATCAGAACTTTATCTGCTCTTGTTTGAAGCTTGTAAATAACGATAGCTTCAAATACTCCAAATCCAACATCAAATAATTCTCCATCATCAGCAATTGATGATGGAACCAATCCATATTTTCTGCATCACTCGGATAGTCGAAGTCTTGTGCTCGTTTCACAGCAGTTGGTGGGAGATAATTATGCACCTTGGAGTCGATCGATGATGATTGCACTCTCAGTAAAGAACAAGTTAGGATTCATCAATAGATCCATTCCATAACCTGAAAATAATTTGGAATTACTCAATTCATGAATTCGG